ACACACACACACACACACACACACACACACACACACTCACACACCTACTGCAAGCCTCAAGAAGGCCCCTGGACCTGTGGGGCAGTCTCAGGATAGGGGTGTGGTCCTCTGTGTTAACAAAGAAGCAGATGTTTTAATTCTATCTTCATTTACAAACACCCAATTTCTTCATGTTTAAGAAGCCATAGAACCTACACAAAGAGGAGGGTTGTGTCTGCACTGTGTTAATTTTTTGGAGTGATGTGAGGGTCTACTTGTCCCTTACCCACCCTGAATCTGGGCTCTAGTTTCTAGGTTGGATAGGAAGGCAAGGAGCCAGGGTGTTCATCTTTGACTTTTCCAGTCATGAGCCCAGCTAGGAACTAGGGCAGGTTTCAGTTTCTTACTTTGTCTTTATTTCTATTCTTTCCTAAGCCCCGGAGACCCATGACAGTTTCACAATCTGTCTGTAGTCTTCCCTAGGCTAAGGTTTGACTTTCACCTTTGTAACCCCTCTTCCTCTGTGGCCTTCTAAAACTTCGCTGGCTTAGAAATGTCTATAAATAAAATCTACCAAGTAAGTATTCATCACAAAATAAAAAACAAAGGGGAAGATTTGGAAAAAGTGCCATTTATTCAGCTCTGGGGAAATGCCAGGGAAGAGAGGCTACAGATTTGTGGTTGGGTACATAGGAAGTCAGTAGCCACACCTTGGTCCCTGGGAAGAACAGGTAAAACAGTTGATCTCTATCAAGGGGCTGGAAGCAGATGCGGCCCCAAAGCGCAACTCCACTCACTGCACTGATGAGTGAGAGGGGAATGACATGAAAATTAGCAAATTTTACCATGGGAAAGGATTCTACCTTCATAATATTTTGGAAGTTCACTTCCTACAAATTATATCTGTTCTCTACATATTGCTCAGCTGCTCTGTCTGCTTGAGGGCTGGCAAAATGCTTGCTGCAGGGAGCTTAAATTGAGGCTGTGCTCGGGACCCCATTTAACAGGTATCCGATGGGAAAGGAGAGGTTACAGCAAAGAGACAGGCAATGTGGGGAGATGCAGCTGGGGACAGGGGCCGCAGGGGATGGTAAAAGGAGATTATTTTAATAAACGAGTTAGAAATAAAGGTTTTAGGGCTTAGGTGTAGGTCAGTGGTAGACTGCATGTTTACCATGCATGAAGACCAGGGTTCCACTACTAGCAATGCCAAAAAAATATTATTTTTGCAATCTACATGAATTGATGCTTCTACGCCAAACACTTCCTGATAAAAGGGAGTGCCTCCCCAGGTAACCAATCAGGGAGAAAATAGACTATGGGCTGAACAGGAAGATTATCTAGAGAAGGACAAATCAGAAGGACTGGGCTTTCTTCAGTGACAATACCTTTACCATTACTATTTCCCATCTAATTCTAAGGCCAGGTACTTTATATACAGGACTCAGTTAATTGTCACACCAACCCTGTGAATAAGTGTCATCATCCCTACTTACAGGGGAGGAAACAGACTTCGCAGTGACCAAATAGCTTGCCTAAGGTCACAGAGGGGGATGCATCTCAGCTGGGGCTCAACTCTAGAGCTTGCAGAACTCCAGGTCCCTGTATGAAGCAGTAGGAGGCCACCATCAAAGGGTCCTGGTTCCAGAATCCAGTGATGAGGGCAGAAGAAAGGCCCAATGACTATTTCTGGAAACAGGGTCCTGAGTTTTCAGGTGGCACTCGGGACTCAGAGAAATGGGATGTGATGAGCAGCATCCCGGGAATCAGGGCTATGTTTAGGCTGGTTTCCAAACTGCAGTTTGAGAAAATGCACAAAGGCATTCCATAGGCTGGAATTTCTAGTGCCAAGACCCCTGCTTCTTACCTTGGTTGTCGTTTCTAGAATGATCTCTTTGTGCAGTAGTTCAACCACCATCTTCACGTGGCCTTCTTTAGAGGCTAGATGCAAGCCGTTCAACCCGTTCTGTGAGGAGCAGAAAGGTGGGGAGGTTTTGTTTAGTGACACTGCCCACTGTGCCATCCTAGGGACTGGCTAAAGTGTGTGGAGGAGTGGAAGGCAGTATTGAAGGGGCACTGGGTGGGTAGAACTGACACAGAGATCCACCAGCTGAAGGCTAGCTAGGAAGGTCTTGGCACCCCAAGGTCAGAACACCAAGAAGGGGAAGAGCAAAGACAACAAGATTGTCAGTCTGGGCACAAATCAAATGCAGGAACATTCTCTCAGAATCTGTAGGGGACTTGAGATTTTAGTCCTAGGCAGTCTTTAGGCTCCAGTGGGGGTACAGATGTGTCCAAATGCACAAATGTTGAAGGCTTGGGTGTCGGGGCCCATAAAAGTGGCTCCATTTCATCATGACTTAAGGTTCAAGTCCATTATTGCTCTTTCAAGGTTAAATCCACAGTATGTTTAGCCTAAGGTGTGGCTATTGTGAGTCTTGCCTTGAAAATAGCATATCTGGCCTAAAGTATAGCTAATAGATGTCTCACCTTGACAACAGGATATTTGGTTTAGGGTATGGTTACTTGATGTTTTGCGTTTTGAGAAAGTAATTATGCTTGTTTGTTCCTTGTATCTTGGCTGGACCTGACAGATGATGCCCTGAACGTGGGTCACTACACTTGAAGAGGCAGAACCTTTAAGAACTGGGGTCTCAAGGAAGAGGCAAGTGGAATACAGCTCTCTTTTTGTCTTTTACTCCTAAGCTGCCAGAGCCCAGCAGCATCTTTTGTCACAAACTCATCCCAAGATGTACCGTGTCACCACAGGGCCCCAGACAATGAGACCAAGTAGCCTTGGACTAAAATCATGAGCCAAAATAAACATTTTCATTTTCTTACATTGGTTTTTCCCAGGAATTTTGTCATAGTGGCAGAAAGCTGACCACTTGATTGATAGAAATGTCACCTGACTGAGATGGTTGGCATGGCCTCAGCCCTGGACACTTGACTGAGATGGTTGGCATGGCCTCAGCCCTGGTGAACTTTCGTGTACCTCAGTCCTGGTGAACTTTCATGAAGTGACCAAAAAATGTAGACCTGTCACACCAACACATGCTCAAAATCTGTGACGACCAGCCCATACTTACCAAAATAAGCTTCAAAACAGACCCTTTGAGGACTGAACACCCACCTCACTACATGCTTTCCTCAATGGGAAAACCAGAGCTAAACCAGCCCCTTTGTTAGCGTGTTACTTCAGGTGCCACCAAAGAGGCCACGGCCAACCATTGGTCTCCAAGATCAGAGCTCTCGCCATAGTGTGAAAGCTCTAGCCAGCCTGAGGCTGCTACTGTGCCCCTAAAGCGCAGCACTGCGGCTCAAGAGGAATCTCTCAGTCCATGCTTCCTTCTTTCTGTTCTCTGACTGTGTACTTAAAGGCCCTGAAACTTTCTGGCAAAATCTGTTATCAAAAGCTGCTGCTTGTCCGGCGGTGGTGGCACACACCTTTAACCCCAGGACTCAGGAGGCAGAGGCAGGCGGATCTCTGTAAGTTCGAGGCCAGCCTGGTCTACAGAGCATGTTCCAGGACAGCTAGGGCTACACAGAGAAACCCTGTATTGAAAACAACAACAATAACAAAGCCCTGTTACTTAGGGGCTTATGAGACAGCTCGGTGGGTAAAGGTGTTTGCCATGATGATCTAAATTTGGTTCATATGATGGAAGGAGAAAATGTACTCATTAAAATTAACCTCTGACCTCCACATATGCACATGGAATACATGTGCCCCCTCCCCCAAATAAATATCTTTAAAAAGAATAACTCAGCACTGCAAAAATTCTGACAACATGATGACATGAATTTCAATTCCATGGCTAAGTAGGATCCATAAAGCCAGTGGGTTTAGTTAGCAAATGACCTCCATTCATTGCCTCCTCCATTGTGGCCAGCAGCTCTCTTCTCCTGCCCTCTCTCTCCATCTTGGTCAGTCTGGTTTTAGCACTTTTTGGGGGGGTTGTTTTTCCAGACTTGGAGCTGCTGCAGGCTCTTGCCCATCAGGATAAGGCTTGACCTCTTTCATGTGAGGCCTCTGACTCACCTGTCCTGAGAGTCCCTGCACCCGAGCTCCAGAAAGCCCCACTCCTCTCTTGGGTCAGAGCACATGTTCAGCTTCCCACTAAAACACAGACTCTACCTGGGGTCAGTGCTGCCTCTCAGCACATGACCACAGGGAAGAGTCCCCTGGGAATGCACTTAAGAGGCAGGAAAATAGGAGGGCTGCAAGGATGTCCACCTATGTCCTATTTAGATCAGGCCTGCCCAGCCTGCAAGCAGCCAGTGAGTATGGGTGGCCAAGACCTTGCTGGGTTAGGACATTCCTTACCGTGTGTGTGTGTGTGTGTGTGTGTGTGTGTGTGTGCATGCACATACATGTGCCACCACTTGCACATGTGCAGATGAATGGCTGGGGCTAATGGGAAGGCCCCTTTGCCAAGTGTTTCCTAGTGAAAACATCTGAATCTGGCCATCACGTGTTTTCCTCTTACAGGTTGTGCACAACAGTTACTGCAGGGTCTAACACTAGCTATGTGGATTTTTCATCCCACACTGTGAATAAAATTATCAGATCAAAGATAGGCTAAAGCCAGCACTCGTAACAGGAGAGAAAGGGCCTGAAGGCAGGCCACAGTTTGGACGGGAAGTTAGGGCAGGGGTAAGAGACACCGGGCATACACAAACCCACGGTCTGTATTCAATGTGCAAAGCACAAATTAACTAAAAAACCACCTGTCAGATGAGGGGGTGTTTGGGAAGTCCCAGTCCTTTCTGAAGCTGTTCCTGTTTGTGGGGCAGGTCTGATGAGGGTCTTGTTCCCTTTCACAGATCTGTAGACAGAGGTCTATCAACTCTACACTGGAAGGCTCCAAGCCCTGGCATGTGGGGCTTCTGGGATCTGGTAGTGGGGTTGTGGTCGTGGCTACACTCTGCTCATCACAGGAGATGGTTCTGGTAGCATGCCAGCATGGATGTGGCTCATTTAGTGCTTGGCTTGGCAGCATTGCCACCTAAATGGTGGGTATTGATTGGCCCTGAAAGCCTCAATGTTGACCAGCCTAGGGAGGAAACATCTAACACAGCTGATGCTCAGGGGTGGCTTTCCCTGCTCTTTGGAGCCAGTGTGAGGACCCTAATCCATGGAGATGCTGGATTTCTGACCACAGAAAGCTAGAGGTAAGCTGCATTAGAGGCTCTCCATTACACCTGTCATTCTCAGCTTGGCAAACCAAGGCTGAGAGTGGCTAAATTAATGAAGTCACAGAATCCTATATCATAACCATGTGAAAGCCAGCATGGTTTCGGGTGCCCTTCTCCCAGGAGCTAGCTCACTTCTTTTTAATCAGATAAGTAGAAGTGAAGTTTATTTTTGATTACAGTCACAAGTCATCCCCAAAGATTTGGTTGTGACCTCTGCGATTGATCGCAACAGTTCTGCTCACTGCTCTGGTCTTCAGGAGTCTCCCTTTTTCTCCTCCCTGATTCATGAGCCTTCCAAAAGCCCAATCCTGGCAGAAGAAATGGCCTTTCTTCCAAAATGGTCCATTTGAGTGTTTCTGCATCCCAAAGTGTACTTCACCCTCCCTTCCAGATTCTGCCTCTACCATCTCTTTCTTCTTTAGGACTCGTGTGTGTGTGTGTGTGTGTGTGTGTGTGTGTGTGTGTGTGTGTGTGTGTGTACATGCATGTGTGTTCACATATGTGTGGAGGCCTGAGGTTAATGTCAGGAATCTTCCTTCATCACTCTTCATCCTTATACATTGAGGCAGAGTCTGTCAATCAAACCCAGAGCTCATAGATACCACTGGTCTGACTGGGCAGCTTGCTGGGGGATGTCCCTTATCTGACTTCTGAGACTGAGGCTGGAATCACAAGCAGACCACCATGCTCCCAGAGCATTTATGTGGGTTCTGGCAATCTGAACTCAGGTGCTATTGCTGGAGTGCCAAATGTGTCAACAGCTGAGCCATCTCCCCAGCCCTCTAGTGGCCTTTGCAAGTTACTTGTATTGCTATTAATAAGTGCAAGTTACATCAATGACTCAGGAGATTTGAATTTAATGTCCTCATCTGGGCTACAGAACCAAAACAAACCCCATTAGGCACAGCCAATCAGGGTATGCAGGAAACCCTGGAGTTAGTATGCAACAAAAACACAGGTGCAAATGCCTGCTACAGTGTCACCAAGGGCTGAGCCTCTACCCAATCCCAAACCTTGTGAGAGCCAACAGTGCCTGGCAGTGTGCTGTAGGTGATTAAGGGTGGGGTGATGCAGGGACAGATATACACAAAAGAAATATCCTAAATGTTCCTACAGACACGTATGAATCCACTGAACAGAGCAGGACAGGACTACTCTTTAAGACATGGTTTCATAGCCAGACAGTTCATGCAACATCAGGATGTCAAGTTCATTTACAAAGGCAAAACAAAGATGTCATATGTGGTACTAAGTTATAAACCCACACACTGACATGTCAGAAGCCAAGCTTCCAGCCTTCTCATCACATGTCCTTTTCCTTTCATGAGGCAGCTGGATCCAACAGGTGCACAAATGCTCCAAGCCCCAGAGGCAAAGCTCTCTCCAGGCTCTGGCTTCAGTAGGTAGACGGATGATTAGCTGCAGTGACTGACCAACCAGGCTAACAGCTGATGCTGTGGGACACCTGGGAACCAATGTTCTACCGTGGGTTCTGAGGAGCCCCCGCCTTACTAAATGCAGAGCTAGTCCACACAAGAGACTACTTTCAATACCAAAACAGCATCCTGTGCATAAATATCGAATTTAACACTTTCCTTTTCTTTAAACAGTTTTTTTTTTAAAATTGCTCAAGTGTGAAGAGGGAGGAGTACAAATTATGTGAACTATTTGTTCTTAGCTGTGACTGTGGACAGGGATGAACTGTAATTTACCACCTCTTCATAGCCATGAACCATATGCTTTCATTTTAGTTAAATCAAATGTAAG